ACGATTATTGATAGAAAACAATGTGACGCGAACTTTTAAGCGCATGATTGCAAGTACTTTACAGGAGTCGGTTAGTTACATTGTTTCATGGATCAATCAGTTGGCGAGAATTATGGATTGTCTCGGTCGGTTTTTCATCTTCAGTTGGATTCTTGATGAGACAGCCAAGCGGTGCAGGTTTCACTGGCGACTTCGCAAATCGTTGATAGAGCGCGGCTGGTAATTTCATAATCTGAAAAGAAAAACAATTTATTGATTATCTTTTGGGAAATAATAAAAAACAATTAGTCTCAATATAAATTGGTGCAATAAAATTTTGCAAACTGCAGTTATTTGTAAGCAAAAGATATTTTAAGAACTGTAAAATTTTTCGAATAATTGTTAACGTAGAAAAGCACATAAAACGTATCAGATGAAAGTTTGAGGCACAAGAAATACAGATCTGATTTAAGTATTTTTATATAATAATATGCTATATAATAAAACTGTATTAATTGATATTCTAATGTAAAACATTTAACAGATGGAGTTGGTTTTATCTATTTATGTTAAATATTAAAGCTTAACATAAATAAATTTTTTTCAAGCTTTAAGATTTTCTTTATAAAATTAAATTTTGTTATAAGTATTTTATAAAGATACTTACCAGTCACAGTGTTAGATCGTTTGCCAAATATGCTACCATTGAAAGGTGGTTTTTTGTAGGCAGCGTTTGCACTGATGACGAAGGCTACCATGATAACAGCGAGAGTCAGGATAAGGCGAATGGAAACCATGTCGATGCGTTAATCTATTTTCGTCTGAAATAAAAAATGAAGAATTTGTTGAATATTTATAACAATTTTTTATATTTAACATCTCATTTTATTTGCTGTTATAAATAAATAATCAGTTTAATAATTAGAAATAAGCAATAATAAATTTTTAAAAAGTTTATGATAAATAAATTTCAATATAAAACAAAAGCTTACTCTTTTTTGAAAGAACGAAAAGAACTTGTGTGATCCTTAGAAGATTCGGTCACTGAATGTTACTAGCGACGCACAAGCTGTGAGCTTTTATACCCAGGGAAACGACTTGAAGACAAATGTCTCTATCAAACGCAGTCGAGCTACATTATTTGCAAGTAATGTCACAAGTTTGTCCAAGAGGGTATTAATTTATCATGAAATATAAAAATTCGTAATAACTGACGATGACCAACTTGTGTAAAAATAGCACATAAAGTCACGCTATGAAATTGAAAAATTATTGAAAAATCGGAAATATTTTAGTATGTGTGTGTGTGTGTATGTGGAAAAGCTAAATTTGCTCAAGTATTTACACAATCTATAGTGTAAGAAAATAGAGTAAGAAAATACATATAACGTGAAAAACTATATAAATTTATATATATTTATAGTTATATTATAATTAAAAGTGACGTTTTCACCTGAATGAACGGGATGTATCCGAAAGACGGTACTCGACTGATGCCTCTTCGGTGGTTGAAACGGCTTTTATAAGAGAGTAGTCTATATTTTAAGAATGTAGTGTGTGAAGAAGATAATAAGCTATCAGAAAGTGTAATGTGATTAAAGACCATCCTGATTGCTTTTTACTTCAGGGAAATAAAGATGTTTCGAACGTATCACGTAGACCATGTATTGCGGAAAAACTTAATAAAGTATCATAGTTTAAGATTAGTGTGTGTGTGTGTGTATCTATTTCTATATTTAACACTGTTTTTATTAAATAATTATATTAAAATACTTTACTGTAAAGTACATTATTAACAAAGATTTAAGTTTTATTATTTTATTATTTATTAGCTCCTAGAAAATGAAAAGTATAGTCCTTTTATTATTTTGTTATAAGAAATTAAAAGTTTAATTTCTTATAACAGAAAAACGATATGTTTATTAAGAAAGTAATAACTTAGTTTTTTCAATATCTACATCTAATATGATGTGAATATGTTAGTTAAAAAAAATATGAAGAATTGCAAATTGTTGGAACTATTATTTAAAAAATTATCTTCTGTGTATATAATTTTGATAAAAAGAATAAAACAAATTATTGATTAGTAGAATAGGTAGTTGAACAAATGAAATTCTCTTTTTAAAATTTACTTTTTAAATATTACTAATAAATGATATTAAAATAGTATCTATATCTATTATCGATATAACATCTCTTTTCAAAGCTAATGATCTAATTTGAAAGTCCTAGGACTTATACCTTTTGTCATGCACAGATAAGTTATCATCGATAAGGTACTGTCATACCTAAGTATGATACTCTCATCGCATCGGTCGATAAAAGGCTTTACTATATTTTCAGCATATGATATAATAATCAGAACTTACAATGTATTAATTTTTTATTATAAATATTTTAAAGAAGATTATTTTTAAATTAACATTGCCGCGAATTTTATATTATTAGTCACAAGACACTTCAAATTTTGTTAAAAAAATTTTGTTAAAAAAATAATAATACTAAAATAATAACAGAATTTTTAAATTTTGTTATAAACAATATTTTTATTATTACATAATTAAGTATATACATTAAACTTTTGCGTTATATGTATACAATTAACAATATTGACATTAATAATATAAATATAATTAAAAAAATTGTGTTTTAAAAGGAGCTGAACTATCCGCATGGGTCAATGCATGAATGTTTTAAAATGTTACTTTATTTAATTTTAAAATCTTTTAAGATAATAGCGTTTCGCTTGTATAACGCTATATCACATGTTAGTTACAAAAAGTGATTGTTGCAGATTATATAATTATAAATTAATACATGGATATCAATATGAGAGAAAGTTAATATGACAACATTGTATCTTTCTTTTATGTTACTACAATATATATGCAATACAGTAATAGACTAATACCAATATTTATATAAATATAATTAATATATATATATACAATTAAGTAATCATATAAATAATATATATTAATTATAGTGTGAGATAATCAATTATTAGAGCCAAATTTAATCACGTTCTCGATGATCGATCGATTTCTTAATACATTACTATATGTACAAAATAAAATTACAATTATAACATTCTTCTTAGACACTCAACAAGTATAACTTTCTATTTAATCATTATTCTCGTTCTCTTCATTTATTTGCTGTATTAAAAAGTTCTCAGAGTTAAAATGTGTATGTATCGATTGAAAACCGAGAGCGTGATACGATTTAAAATACATCGTATAGGCATATTAGAGTCTACGTCTTATTGTCGCGTCACAACTTTTTCTTCTTAATTTGGCACGATAAACAAACACGCCGTCGATTATTCGCTATACGATCAATACAAATAGTTATTTTACAAGGTTAATAGTTTTGGAAGTACACAGTCGATGACAATCGACGACGTATTGATGCCGGCCAAGACTTATCGCACTAAACAACGAGTAAATTATCTGCGCTTTATCAGTATACACTTATCGTTTAAGTAATATCATATAAAGCGGATGCCAAGAAATAGTAATTTAACTACAAAGTGTGGAAGACATGGATTTTGTTTCGTTTGCTTATTTACATATTGTATATATTCTATCGTTGTATAAAAATTATTAACTGCTTTATGTAAACTATAATTAGCGCGAGAATGCACGTGCATATCGTGCGCGCATATAAGTAGAATTTATTGCATAATACACATATCACACATCGATGTCCTGCTCACACGTCGCAAGCCTTTTGACTAAATGTTTATTACGTCTCAATATAGACCTGTATATTTACATATACATAGATATACTTAATTTGCTTTAATGTAAAGTTAGCAATTTTGAACACGTAATTAATAAGTTTGTATTGGAATGATTAACTTCACGAAATTAGTTTCTTACTGTTTAGAAAAGATTATCTATTAGGAAACAAGTATCTACTTCCATTTATAATTATCGATTAGGAAAAGATTATTTGTTATTAGGATATTTTTATAACACAATTAATATATGAGAAACATAAAAGGTATATACAGAAATATTTTTATTCAAATTACGTATTATACCCAGTAGGATAAAGAGGCAACGTCTACGATATATTATAGAATGATATTGTAAAAACGTAATAATAATATCTATTAGGACACATTATTAGTTTTTAATTTTTAGTTGTTCCTTAACGTGTTGTAATAGTAATTAAATCAAATGAAATGTATTTAATTGTACATATTCATAGTGATTATGTTTCATTGCGCCAGATTCCTTTGGAAAATTACATATTATCTGAAATACTTGAAAGGATTGTGTATCAATTAAATTACGTGAAATTGATGAAAATTCCAGCGTCGTATTTTCTGAGTCAAAATAGAAAATATAATGCAACTGGACCGTGTGAACTGGACCTGTGTAGAACTGTCTTAGGCCTAAAGCGATTACAATATTAAACATTAAGTGAAAAATCTTATCATTTATATTAATTATTAACTTAATACTTCGTGATTATATTATTTTATACATAATTATATTAATACATGCCATGTTTGCCACTAATTTTTTCAGTTCTTCTATAATAATTTATTTTATTTTTATATTTTTCGTTAAACTTTTTGTACGGACTGTATAAAAATGAGAGTAAAAATCGACAAATAAATATAAATATGTGTAAAAATATAAATACATATAAAAAAATAGAAGAATACAAAAGTATTTATAAAAGATGCACATATATTAAAAATATAAAAAGATACAAATCTATTTATAAATGGAACATTATGTGGAATAACAAATTAATATTTTTATATAGCGCTTGAATTATTACAGTCTAACAATAATATTATGTAATCTTTAGAATTACGCATGTAACAATGTATTACAATAGATAACAAATTGTTAGTTATCCAAAAATAATAATTTGTTAATTTTTCTTATATATTACAATTATTATTATACGTTAAACTGCTGAGAAAAAAATTAATTTAAATAACAAAATCGAAAAGAAAATCATACATGCTTCAGATTATTTCTATTTTACATCTTCCTGATTACGATGAAAAACACTTTTCCGTAATAATTAATTTAATTGACGATCTATGCAAGATATGAAAATTCGTGGTCTTCGCGTAAACTCTCTCTCCTGTCTGTTATTTTTGTCTATGTATGTTTTATAATTGTTCAGCTTTTTAACTCGTTTCACATTGACAGATTTCATCAACAGAATCGGCCATGCACAATTCTGGGCAATTTTGATTTTTTTCACTATGTTCACCTAATGATGGGTTGTCTTGATCCAGGTGGGAGGTATCTTCGGCAGTCTTCTCTCTGGACAAATCTAGATTTTCAGGAAGTGGCGACTCACGTTTCTCCTGATGTCGTGGTATCGACTCTATGTTCTCATCCCTCTGCATATTTTCATCCAGTTCCACAGTTTCGACGTTATCATTGAATTCATTGATTAATGTTTCATGATGCAATGCATCTGTCTCACTCTCTTCAATGTTTCGTTTTGCTCGTCCGGGTGAGTCATCTGAGTTTGAACTATCTGGGTATAAACATTTTGTGAAGAACTTTCCTTGTGATATGTCGGTGTCCTCGAACAGTTCATCACGGATCTCGCATAGGACGAGTACGTCGAGAGGTGAGTTGAGAATCGTAGTCATGATATCGCTCGCCAACTCCTTTACCAAAAGGTTGAGCCGCCAAGTTTCGTGAAGGCGCATAGTGTTCGGACTCAAGGGTATTAAAGCATCACAATAACATCCTATACTTGCTTGGAGGGATGATCTCAGAGCAAAACAGTTGACTTCCGACGCGATTGATAGTTCGTAAGTGCACAGTTTCAAACAGTGGCTCATAATAGCAAACGCCTGATGCTCGTCGCTGAGGGACTGGAGCTTGCAATTTACCTTGGGATATCGGGGAAATAGGCGCACATCCCTCTCTCGCTCGGACTCAGTCTCTGCCCCGGGATTGCAGAGCAGGGCGCAAGCGTCGACCGTGAGAGGCCTTGGTACGCTCGTAGCGCAGCCCACCAACGCCAACACCAACAGGAATATCCAACAGAACGTAGGCGTCATCTGAAAATGATGGCTAATCAATATTCTGAAGGGGATGCGGCTCCGCGTTCCGATGCTGGCTTATTGGAAGGGATGTATGGCTAAGGAGGAATTCCAGGAGTCTGACCGCGCTCCTGCATGTACATATTCCAGAGAGTTAAAATGGGATTTCGGTAGCCGCTATGTGTATTAGATAAACGAGGATAGAGATGAGCTTATATATAACAACTGCGGTATTTTAGACGATATAATTAACGTTAGTAGACGAGTATTGCGGGTATTGAATATGCAATTTCAGTGTCGTATTACTTTAAGAATTTTTCATTTTGATTTTGAAAATCCGACAAATTATATGACAATAAATTTATTTTAATTCTAAAATCTAAATTGTTATAAAGAATGTCTTTGAAATAGAATAAAATTTAATAGCACATCCTACTCACCTTTAACGTGGAAAAGATTCAATTTCCGAAACACTTCCTCTGAAACACTTCCTCTGTTAGAACGTTTAGAAATAAAAATCTGTTGTTGAAACGAATATTGATGTTCCTTTCAGTTCAAAGAATCCGTTAAAAGTGACTTTGTTCACAAAGAAATACACACATCGACGTTCGAAATACAAATATCTATTAAGGCACTCAACTGATGGTTTTATAGTTTCATTCCAAGCAGGGCCGATCTTAGCATTAGTAGAGCCTAGTGCAAATAGATGTTCTTTTTAAATATAGTATTAATATTTTCTAACTAGCAAAAAGTAAGAGAAAAAGATTACAAGTATAGTGATAAGAAAGAATACGATCTAGATATTTATAAAGTAATAAAAGTAACATTACTTTGAGATACATTTTATATTACTAAAAAATTTCTTCATTTATATCTATTTATATAAATTATAAATAAATATTTATATAAATTTTATATGTTTAAAATAAAATTACTTGAAATAATTTTGTGTTTAAAAATTTTTAACACAATACATTTTTCCGTAATTACGCCGTTATATCTTCAATAATGTAATTTATAGAAAATCTTTAAAAGTTAAATTATAAACAATTTTTAGATTATATGATAAAGCTTCTTGTAGTCGCAGGTTTAATAATATTTTCTAAAGTAATACGAGTGACGTAGTTTTATTCAGTTCTGGAAAAATTTTAGCTTGACATTCTGAACTTGGTGCCTCAAATTCGGTTCCCAATACAGAAAGATTATTCGTACAGATTTAAAATCTTTTAGGATGTATTTAATCATAACAAGCTGTTACTGTTCACTTACAAAAAAATGTCAATATATCATAGCGAACCAAATAGGGCCAGAACATGATCGTTGTTACGTGAATGTTTCACTAATAGTTTAAATTAGAATCATAAGAATGTCAGATTATTTAGCATTAATGATTTTTTAGATAACAGTTGCAACAATGCTAAATATTTTAATCTGTTTTAAATACACTTTTTAATGATAAATTAAATTACGAAATTACAGAAGTACATTCTAAAGAAAAGTCCTATCATTATTTTTAGAAAGTATAATCCTAAATGAGATTTTTTGAAAAGAAAGCATTAAATTAAGAAATATTTATTAGCTAGCAATTGTGCTACAAAGGCTATACGTTTTTCTAATAAGACTTCATGATGGCTTAAAATAATCGTTGTAATTTTTTTATATATAAAGAAAATAATAATATTTACATGTGTCGACTAATTTTTAACCGTCATCAACGAAACGTTAATGTATTCAGGGCTGGGTATGTGTATTTGGAATACTTTTATTTAAAACACAATATTTGCAATACAAGTGCGTTTTGTATTTTGTATTTTAGCGGAGCGCATAAAAGTATTACGTATAATTTTGTATTTAAAACTGAAAGATTAAAAGCTTTTTGTATTTGTAATTCAAATAATAAGATTATATTTCTGTTTTTCGCTGAGGATGACTCCAAAGTGAGCCGAAACATTCGATACAATAAATGAAGATAATTATTAACACTTGAGTATTATCTGCATCTCCTAACTCTTCTCTCTTTGAAATATTTTTATATGAAAAATAGTATTTGTCAGACAATTGCATTTTCTTTTTTCTATTTCAGCAAAGCATACGAAAATTTGTATTTTATACTTCAAATACTAAAATTAATAATCAATCTTATTATTCAATGAAATAGAATTTCAGATAAGGCTAATGAGAATAAACGCTGATGTAAGAGCGAAGAATTAGAAGATGCAGATAATACTCAAGTGTCAATGGTTATCTTCATTTATTGTATCGAACTCAATGTTTCGGCTCATTTTGGAGCCATCCTCAGCGAAAAACAGAAATATAATCTTATTATTTGAATTACAAATACAAAAAGCTTTTAATCTTTTAGTTTTAAATACAAAATTATACGTAATTTTATGCGCTCCGCTGAAATACAAAATACAAAACGCACTTGTATTGCAAATACTGTGTTTTAAATATATATTCCAAATACATGGTGTCCAGCTCTGAATATATGTATTTAAATACTTAAGGTCATGAGATGTTTCCGGTCACGCTCTTTATGAGATACATTAAAAAAAAGATTGGCTGCTGCAGCAAATTAGATGGTAAAATATGGCATAGCATTTTTAATTGGCTGCAGCAGCCAATCTTTTTTTTCAGTGTAGTTAACTGTTCGCCTATTGAAGTATTATAAAAAATAATAAGGCATGACCGAAATCATCTCATGACCTTAATAAGCGTATATTATTACAACGTTTCGCTAAGTATGGTTAAAAAGCTATCCAAAGCATGTATATATTTTAATGTATAAGCATGTACATATTTTAATGTAAACGTCTAAGTGTACGATAGATTTTTTTATAAATAATGCGTACAGTCTATATCGCTAATTCCCAATTGCCCTTTTTATTTCGTGATATAGTTGTTCTTTTAGGAATTTTGTTAAATGTTGTTAATATTTGAATGATATTTATATATGTCAAATGTTACTAATAGTAAAACTCTCTGATATGGATACAAATGTTTATAACTTGAGAAAAAACCCACTCAAAAAAGAAGTATAGTTAAATTAATCAGTCAATCATTAAAATAATTAATAATTATTTTAACTGAACAAATTATTGCTCGTCACTACTTATAAATGTATCTCCGTATGTTTCATTCTATAAAGCGAGTTTAAATTAAATAAAATCTAAATTAATAAAATATGGTATTAAAAACATATATTTGATATAAAAATATTACTGCGCGCGCGCGCGCGCATCCATGAGATTTCAAATAATTTTAAAAACGATTTTGAATTTTATTCGTTTAGTTGTATCATAATTCGTTACATTGCATAATAAATTTTATAACATACTTTAAATTACAAAGTTAATTTATTTTAATTTGAACACATATTTCACAATATGTGTTCAAATTAAATATGTTTTACATTGTACCACAGAACAAACATTAAAAAAGTTTTATAATTTCGTAAGTCATAATTTTCATTACTTCTAAATTATTTATTATTATATCATATAATAAATTATATGATTTATTATTCTGATTTTACTATTATGATTTTTTTTAGTTTTTTAAATTTTAAATTGTGTAACTATATAGATTAAATTTCGAAAATAAATAAAAAATTACATCTGTTTAATATTTTAATTTTTTAAAGCTGCTGAATTTAAAAATTTACATAACTTAATAGGTAAAATGTAAAGTAATTAAAATTGTAGCTTTAAGAGCAAAATATAAATATTTTTACAGAGATATAAATACAGAGATATAAATATTTTACCAAATAATAAAAATAAGTATTTAATGAAGTAAACGACGAATTATGCTTTTTAAATGCACAGGAAAACATATATTCTATTATCAATAAAATATAGCGATATAGTGTCGTAAAAATTTATATATTGTCATATATTGATTTTTACGGGAACATAAGAATAATAAATCGAGAATAGATAAATTATTAAAAGTAGACAGTTTTTACATCTGAATTAAATAAATTAAACATGACTTCCACTTGCCCGTTTAACTTCTTTTTTTTTTTTTCAGATAAATCAAGTAACGTAAATTTTTTAGTAAGAAGTAACTGAGAAAAAAGATTGTATGTGCCCAATTAAAAGATTTTAAACAATATTATATCTTATAAAAGATTTTATTTTATAATGTTTCCAGTTCATTATTTTATTTTTTACCTTTTATATTTAATGCATTTACATAAATTCTTATGTTTGACGATGTCGTAATAAATTTGCGAATAAATTAATTGTAAAATTAAATGCGCGTACAAACATGTGTTGTGCATCATGAAATTCACATGTGAAATAATTGCAAAAAGTAGCACAAACAGTTACTAATTACAACATAATAATTTAACTTTTGACAGGAAATAAATTCTATAGAAATCGCCAATGATTAATTATCGAAGGTATTGGAACTTTCTAAAAACCCAATAAAAATACCTATCAAAATGTACTATGAAATGTTTAAGAAAATATGTTAAATTTAATATTGTTCTACAGAAGAGATGAAAGAAAACGAGATAGAGATATCCCAGTAAATTAATGTTAACAAATTTTTAATGGTATAATATGTTTAGATAAATCCTTTTCCGAACGTTACACGGAATGTCAATTCGATCTAAGTTTCTCAAGAGATGAAGAATGGAAAGATTGTCAGAGCATTTCGTGGCTGAGTTGCTCTCTTTTAAGGACGAAAGGTGGATGTGGGATCGATGCTGTCCGACTGCGTGGTTCCATTAAATCGGCGACCTACTCCTTTCCCTGCCAGCCATGGTGTATATGTGTGTGTGTGTGTGTGTGTGTGTGTGTGTGTGTGTGCGCGTGTGTGCGTGTAACAACTTGGATCCCCTCTTTAAAACAGTCACCTCGAGTTGATAGTTGCTGCTTGTAGAAACTTCATGCTAAAGCTTTTCAAGCGATGATAATGCTCCTTCTTGTTGATACGTCATGACAACCGAGCTTGTGAACAGCGACATTGTCTCAGAACATAACTACTGTCTTCCACTACAGCTATAGGAATTCATACACATGACTGTTTAATTGAAATCCGATTCAATAACGATAATGTTATGGTTCAGTAAGATTAATATTATAAGCATTACACAATCTCAGTTGATAACATAATCAGTCAGATCAAACGTATTAGATTTTAATTGAAGTATTTGTTCGTTAAAGAACTTAAAAGATTGAACAATATTATTTTAATAAATTATAAGGATTAATGGAATGAAATTATTATTGGAATTAATTCGGGGCGTGCGATAATTTAATTATGTCACATAATTTACTTATCATATTTGGAATAATTACATTTAGCGGCAATACGTGTTTTATCGGCATATAATCGATATATTCACATCATATTATTATTTCAAAAGAAAAGAATAATTAATTAGATACAAAAAATGCAATTATTACAAGATAATCGAATTAAAATATTAATATAAAATTTCACAGTTTTGGTGATAACTGTATGTATGGGATTTTTCATACATTTTATAATACATATTCTTTAATAGAAAAATATTATATATAAATATAAAATATATATATAAAAATATGTTTTGATACTCGTACAAATCCTGATTTCGATTTGTTCATTGTAACGTGAAACATTGACACGGTATTGCAAGAATAGTAAATTCTCATGGGTTACGTTACATAGGTTGTGCCCACATAGAAGATTTATACGCCTACATGAAACGCAAAATATACTGATGTCAATAAGAAAAGTACGCGTGGTATACTAGTTACGATCCTGGCCCTTTCTGGGTCTCGTCCTGTCCTCCACCTACAACGAAGGACGGTATTGATTAAATTCACAGACGGCCATTTTGTCCCAGCGTTCTATTGGTTGCCGTCCATTTTGTCCTTTCCACTCCCCGCCGGTGTAACCATAATCGTTTCTTCCTCTTCTAGTAACGTTGTCCCTGTTTGCTACCTGTTCACGTTCTTCAGCCCCGATCCACCCCCGTTGACAACGGAAGACGACGCAGGCGTCGCGACATTTTCTGCGGAAGAAATCGGACCATCAGCAATTAGATTCTTCTATGGTAGCCCTAATGAGCGTTCCGTTTCTGTTCTAGATGTACTTGGAGATATAAACTTAACATTTCAACATTGTCTTCTGATTGGTAAATCGATGACACGTTGATTATTTTAGAGAGAGATTTAGTCTATAAGAGAATTATAAAGTGATCTGTTTATTGATGTTTGATTTTATTTAATTTCTAGCTGACAAAAAATTTTGAAAGATTGAAGAATAAACGATAACTGTTTCTCTAATAATATTATTTTATATTATTTAATAATATTATTTCTTTTAGTTTTTTTTTCTTCTTATAATTATCCTCTTTTATTATTTTTTAAAAAGCTGCAAGTAGTACTATGATTTTATAAAACAATAAAATGAGTTTCATAGCTTGAATATAATTTTATTATAAGATTATAAACGAGCTAAAAATTGCAACATTATTTAAAACTGATAATTCTCTACGTTTTGTACATTTAACATTTTATCGAGCATCTTTGAGTGCGACGACGTAAAGGGTATATGACATAACTGTCATATATCCGTTGAAATATGCATGTCTTGGAAGTTTATAGACATATCATCTCTCAGAATCATCTTGAACGTCAATCTACCTCCATCTTTGATCAGTGGTAGGGAGATCCTAAGATTCTTGTTTGCTAAGCCCTTTTTCGCCTCAATGACCTTAGGTGAATTGAATAATACACAAAAGTATGGTAACGGATAGTTCTGTCACGGAAACCACACGCGACTAGGATAAACAAAAAGGTTCCTGGGAACATAAAAAAAAACAAATAAAAAGAAAAATTGGCATACTTGCTTTCCTTTACTCTCTTCTTCCCTCTGACGTCAAAAGTAATGTTCGCTCCGGGATTGGTGAAATGGCGACACGCCCTGATATCCACCACTATGTTTTACCCTTCAACTCCCACCAGTCGTCTGGATACGGCCACGCCTACGTAAAAGCACCCCAGATTGGGGAGGGTGGCTGCGTAGGTTGCGCGAGATGAAACTGGGTCAGGCAGGCTCGAGGCAGGCCGAGTCAGGCCGAAGCTCGAGAGTCGTCCAGGCGTTTTCGGCACGAAGCAGTCCGTTGGAAACCACCCTGAAGCCCGTCGTCGCTTTGCTACTCTGTCGGCATTTCACCCCTAAATCTTTGTTCCGGGGCAAAATCTAGCCTCCGCTGAGACCATAAGTTAAGCCATCTGGCCGCATAGAAGATCCGGCGAAGAAAGAGGCAGGATTAGGTGAGTAGATGAAGGTTGTACTCTAGTAAATAAATCATTTCTTCTTACTATTTTGCAACTTTTTGTATAAAATTGTAATGTGTGTTATAAAATTACTGAGGAATGTTTGACTTGATAATGTATTATTTTGTGTGTTTAAAAAAAATTATAATGAGATTTATAAAATTACAAGATATAGAATTGGAAAAAGTTCGTACAGTATGTAGGTATATTTAACAAAATCATTAGAATCAAAGCAAATTAGTCAGCTAACAATAAAATAAAATTTGAATGTGTATAATAATTTTGATGTATAATAATATAATAATGACTGTTAATAAAAGAGATTTTTTAAATAATAAACAAAGAAATTAATAAATAGAAGTTGCAAAAAGTTTGACATTTATATACGCGCGCGTAAAGATAAATTACTTTTTCAAATACTTATCATAATAATCTTTTTTCTATATGCACACGGAAAAAAAAGATTAGCTGCCACAGCTAAAAATTAGGTATGGCAGTTAAATTCAGTAGCATTATATGGACATCTAACGTCGTATCTGCGAGGTCTAATTTCCATTAGCTGTGAGGCCTAAATATTATCATTCTAACAGACTAGTATTTTGCTATTATATCGATGTATTGATTATTGCAGCAAACGTTTTCTGTGTAACAGATAATTTGGTAGCAAGTACAGTTTCAGCAAACCATATTTAACTGTGGTAGAGACAATTTTCTTTTACACGGACATATCCGATAACTGTGACAACTAACTTAATATTGTTAAATAAATCGATCTGTAACAGACATGCATATTTTGCTATTACGTCCTTATATTAGCTACAGCAGCAAATCCTTTGTATGTATTAGCAAATTCATAACTACAGTAACTAATGCAATTTCAACTAATCAGAATTAGCTGTAAACCAGAAACATTTTTTTTCTGTGCAAAGATATATCATTTACTATTTCGCTTTATAAAACTCTTAAATTTTGAAAATTTAAAACTAAATCGTATCCGCTGAATTGTCAGAAAAAAAGAAACTATAGAAACAATTAAAGTGCAAAATAAAAAATAATATTAAGAACACAACACACACACACACATGATTCTTTAAAAAACGGATACTCACGTGAAAACTGAAGAAGAAATTAAAATGTGAAATAAAAATAATATTACTAAAACACACATATACACATACGCGCAATAATATTGCTAATGATTTTTAAAAAATTGTCAAAACACCACTTGTTAACAAAAAAAAAGGTTTATCTGTTTCTTAAACTATCCGAAAACTTAATATAAATTGTACACGCGTGTTTTTCTTTACTTTAAAATTAAAACTGCATCTATGTACTGATACAAACAAATAAATGATTATAATCTATTTTAGTATTTAATATCATACATTCTTTCTTTCAATACATTCATTAATCATGCATGTTTCATAAACATTCTAATCTCTTTTTTACATTTTCTTCTAGTGCATGTTTTAATGTTATATAAAGGAATTGGTGGATCTCTTTCGGATTTTTTTCAGCTTATTTTTCATGCTTCCAGGACCGCTCTATTGATTCAGAGAGCAAAGCGATCTCTGATTGCTTGAGAAATTCAAGAAGGCTACCTTTTAAGTTAAACTTAGAACACAAAGAGCGATTTATAGTCTGAGTTCACTCACTCTACGATTAGGTACATATTTTTATAATAGTTAATGATTGTGTTCATAAAATAAAGCAGCTTTGCAATTGTTATAAGTCTTTAATATGATTGGTTCATACATATGGATCCGTAAGAAAATAAGAACAAGAACCAGTTACATTAAGTTTTACAGCAGTTGTAAAGTTGCTTTTTCTGCTGAACGTAGCCAATGATAAACTAAATTTCATCCGTTCTTTGCTCTGTTCAATTCTATACACCTCACGACTTTATATATGTATATTATACATTATTATAAGTTCGACTTCTTTTGTCTTTTATCTGCGATAGCACATGATTGAGTATGATTGATCTGTGCTTTTTCATTATCGCATTCTTACTTATTAAAATTTTTTTCGTTATTTTCTTCTAAAATTTACTTCCATAGACAATAAAAGTACGATTTTTAGCATATTCAAGGAATTTTTAGTTTATCTTATGTACATGTTTTTATGCAATCGCATATTAGATGTTACGCGTATAAGTTATTTTTATGCTAATACTATATTATTTTATTTTATCATTTTTTATTTTTTTTATATTTTCTATTAACTTTATTCTTTATTTATACAACAATTCCATCTTTCATTTTTTATAATTGTTTACATATTAGTATAATTCTTCTTTTCTCTTGTTAATCTTTTATTTAAATTATCTATTATTTAAATTTTCTAACTATAATAGTCTATTTCTTTATATATTTTTTATGTGTGATTTCAAAGACTCAATCTTAAGCTATAAACGTTACTGCTTTTACTTCGAAAACACATGTTTCGTTGAGAAAAGAATAAATATGGATCGGTTAGCATGGAATTTACAATATATTTTTAGATATGATCATGAAAATGCTAAAGCTTTGTGTTCTAGGAATTAATTAAAAAAGTCCACAACCTGCTCTCTGTCCATGTTTCTTCGGTCGCTCAGCCTATCGTGGTTACCACGACAATTTTCGCTTAACAATTTCGCAATCACGCTGAAACTCGCCGAAGACTCGACGCCGCAGTACGTCGTGACTGAAGCGAAATCTATTGTTGATTGTTGTAGGAACTGTTGAGGCGAGGGACACAAGCAGAGACATGGACAATGTGCAAATGATCGGCACTAAAATCACAGCGATCAAGGAATACTTATATGTAAGGCATCCACATTGCACGTCATTCATTACGTCTGTTCATTTAGTGAGATCGACATCGATAATTTCTTTATCAAATATCTTTATTTTATTATAATTATATTCTTTTTTTTTATGTTTGATCGGTGAAATCAATTGAAATTTACAAAGGAATAATTCTTCAGATTCCACTCATCTTTCGAATACATCTTATATTCAAATTGTACAACACAAACCGACACTTTTCACAATAGTACACGGAAGTTATATACCTCCAATATTTATATGTCAATGAATGAATTGTATATATTGCATACCGGTCGACGGGCATAGTGTTGGTGGAATTGTCGACAATGTCTATCTCTCTGATTTCAATCGTAACTATAACTAGGGATTTTTAGGTTAACCGTGTTAATTTCTTAGTTTCCAGCACACGATTGCCGATATTTATAACAATTAATATGGTTTATTTATATAAGTGATTTTTTAATTTAAATTGAGTTGATTAATAAATATTCTGATTAATAAAAATTTACTTTTAATATTTGTTAGAAATTAATCCAATTAAATTAAAAATTACGTATGTGTGCAAAGTGTATCATAAAAAGAATATTGTTACTTTGGATTTCAGAACTTCGCACGAACGCATTCACCTACCAGACTAATGAGTTCCGAAAATACTTATTCGCTCTCTAAAGAGCATTGCAACTTAAAGTATTCGGGTAAGTAACAATTATAAGAGCGTTTTTAGTTAATATCTGTTAGAGTACTGCATGATTTTGATAAAAAGATAAATATCTCGCGGACAACTAATAAATATGTGGTGCATGAATTGCCGCTTCTCACTTATATGTTAAACTACAATTGTAATAATAATAATAATAATTGTAATATTTCATCAGCATTATTTGGCATTCAAAATTGATATATAAAATAAAAAAGAGCAAATTACATCAATACATTCTACGTTACGCAAGTGCAGGTTTGGCTTTTTGAGAGCAAAATCCAAGAGTCACAATATTGTCCTAATTTCGTAAGGCCTGTCGGTCGGAAGGGTGCATAATAATAGAGGATTTAGAATTATTCTAAAGAGGTTGGTAGGTGCCGAGTGGCTGAGGACAGATTACACGCCACAGGGAGACGGAAGGGTTTGTTATCCTCGTCGTTCGGGAAGTGTTAGTGACCGATAACGACACGCGCGTGCCTCTTGTAGAACTGTGAATATTTCAATGGATTTTTGCTTCGAAGAATAATTTTTATATTAAACAATTAACGATCGTAAATCTCGCGCGAAAACGAGAATTTCATTTACGAACGTAAACGAATTACGTCGTAACGCGAAATCTGCAGTATTACATATAAATTAAGGTCGTAATCCGGCTTATAAATCGGCGTGACTAATTGCCACATGTAACTACCCTCAGAAGGCACTTTGATTAAAGTCGAAACGCGAGGGTCTAGACACATCTGGTACCAAATAACTATACACACGATAGATATATCGACTCCGAGCGATACATTTGAGAAAATCAATAAAATATCACGTATAGGATTAGAATACGAGTAAAATTATCGCATTTAAAACTATCCATATTTGTTACATATTCGAACATACAGCGTATTATATACAGCATATTACATGTTCTAACGAAAAATATTAATTAGTAAATAGAATAGACACCAATTAGATGCTTATAACGTAATGAAATCTTGAGCGACTGTTACGGGCTTATTTGTATCTCGAAAAGTGCTATAAACCTTGAGAAAAAGGCGGAGGTCTTTAGACATTAGATTGATGGAGCTGGATTAGTTGAATCCGACCGCTGGAAGCCGGGGATTTTCCTTGTCTAACCATAGGCTCAGGGCAATTCACCATAAGTTTTCGCCCTTCTTTCTTTAGTCGGCTTTTATTCAGCATCCTTATGATCACGATTGAAAAAATACTCTTCTCGATCGAAGAGCGAAACTTTTCACAAAAAATTGTACTGGTCAAGAAAAATAGTCGAGAAAACTGTCTTTTGAAATTTTTATTTTTAGAAAATATTTTCTCTCGAATATTAACTCGAGCTTAAATTAATTTTTATTATATGTTCAAAGATTTAATAAAATTATTATTTATATTAAGCTAATGAAGCATAACGTATAAACTTGCAAAATTCTGACATCTTTATCACATAATGTTATTAATATATATTTTTAAATAATGAAATTCAATATGTTTTTATAATATTAAAAGATATGAAAATAAAAATATAATTGTATATTTTGTTAAAAAATCTCATTTGTATCTTACCATCTTAAAATGCTAAATAATAATTTAAAAGCAAAGTCTCATGGTACAGCTCGGCTGTTTATCCATGGGATCACTTTAATGCAATGGGAAAACGAGGGGATGGTTCACTTCATGGGATACTTTATGGTTACGCTACGATAGGACAGTTCAATTTACCGAGGATTTACCACGAGCGCATTGAAATGTTGCAACGACTTTGTTCTGTCTTCATTGAATCTGTATGATTCAATGATCCAGCTAGCATACACATATATACATATGTATTATTACGGAACATTGTAATATCATCATACTTTGCTCGCAATTGTGAAAATAATTTGGATATTTTAAATAGCGCGCGCGCATGTAAAATTAAAAAACCACACATTTGAATATTAATATAATTTTATTTATAACTTTATTAATAATTTTGTAAGTTTAATAGTAAATTAAGTAAGTTTAGTATAAAGATAATTTAATTTAGAGTATAAAGATAACTTTTAGAATTTCTGATATTAATTAAATAAAGCTTATATTGAAAATTATATTTATTGAAATAATTTGTATCGTGCATGATGGCGCAATAAATTGCATGCTATTGTATTAATAGACAAACATAGTGTCAAAATATCAGACAGGTTCGCTGTAAACAGAGGAGAAGAGAGAAGAAAAATATGCATAAGATGGTGTCATCCCACCAAACAAGTGAGAGTGTGTCAATATAGGTCTATACTTTCAATTGTTTGATGAGGTGAAATCATTCTAATCACGCGTTGTCTTCAAGGATGCCATACTATCAAAGATGGTAGGTTGAACAATGACAGCCGAAAGGAGTTTTGTCAGTGCGGTATTAATTGCTATGCTAGAAGAGATTTCACTTGATCCCAACAATTAGAGAGTTATCGTAGTTATTGCATTGTATTGCATTTGAATCATTACACAGATATTATTCTACTTTATTTCTAAAAATGGTAAAGATTAAATTTGATAATAAAATATATTATACAACAATATTATATAATAATATATAATTTGTTCGAAAGTTCATTAATGGTATTTCAATAAATTCTATGCATGCATGATTGTGTCGCTCATTACATGTTTTTTTTTATTGATGATTATCATAAAATCGTTATTTAACAAATGGACGAGACAAAGAAATCGCGCTTGCAATTTTTTATTTTGTTCACAGACATTCTGCCACATAATGCAGAAGGTTATCCGGCGACTAGAGAGTTCTTGATGAAAGTAGTGGACATCCTGTTGGACTTCGTCAAATCAACGAATGATAGAAATGCGAAGATCCTCGACTTTCATCATCCTGCCGACATGATGCGTCTGCTCGATTTAGAAATTCCTGACACCGGATTGACTCTCCAACAACTCTTACTGGATTGTTCCACAACTTTGAAGTATCAAGTGAAGACCGGTAAGAATATTCGAACTATTTCTATTTTTTTTCATATTAGAACAAGTCATGTCTGTGAGTGAGTCGGCTGTTGTAAATAAATGATTGCAAGTGTATGTAATCTTAAAATGTAATAAACAACATTTAAATCTTTTCAAGTAAAAAATAAACTAATAGAAACTAGATTATAGACATGTAAATGTATTTATTATAAATTGCTTTACTATCTTAATTAATATTAAAGTCTTTATATAAAAAGTAAATTAGCGGGATGTATATACTCTAAAGAGAACACCCGTCATACAATTATTAAAAAATTTAATTATATATATATTATATAACTAACTTTTTTGGAAAAAAATAACAGAATAAAAGTTTGAATTTTTGAGAATGAATAAATATCAATATCATAAAAATGAACAATTTTGAATTACTTTGCAAATTCAAGTTTGTTATAATTCTGTTATACATATAATATAGAATATATACTATAGTCATTCCATGTATGTGTTTGTAGAAAGATTTTTATTCTTATCAAAATGTCTTGAAGTGTTTCGGAGACTGAAACATTCAGCGACGTTACAGAAAAACAGACATACTTGCAGATATGTAAATATTTACATATCAAACAGTCATTCGTCCGTCGCCGATTTTTATTATTAAAGAGCCTTTCTATTTTTTATATTTCTATAGCTTTCAAAATTATTTCATACGCACGCAAAGAAACTTTTTCGATTATTTAATTCCGCATAATTTTAGACATTTTAGAAATAACAGAAAATGTGGAATTCATTTTTATTTTATCGTAAAAGTAAAAAAATAGACTTACTTTTTACTTTTACATTAAAAATATTTATGCGTCAAAATTATTCAAATTCATGTCAACCCTAAATGCGAAATGCATAGCGTTGAGATAGTGGACCAAAAAATATTGCAAAAAGTGCAAGCATCCCAAGAGTAGCATTTTAACGCCGTGCTATCGCACGTTCCTATCCCTTAGGGCGATAAGCCACATAATTTCATATTCAATTTAGCATACGCGCTCGCAGGGGTGAAGATAAGGTAGCGACAGACACTGCCAATGAAACTCGACAGCTATCGGCCAACCCTCGAAATATAGACACACTGACGTCGTTTATAATAAATGGACATAGACGCACGCGATAACTATAGAACAGATATTTCCGTGCCACCTCTTTTATGTCACATCTCGTATTATTGGAAATAATATAACAGCCTCTAGAAAAAGCTGCTTTGTATATTTTTACTTCGTTATTTTTACATTTCTGCATAAGTTTCTTTTTAAAATATACAAGTTAGTTAAAAAATTTATTTTATATGTATATTTATGTAAAGTAAAACTTTCTTTTTTTAATATTTAATGATCAATTAGATTTTGTCACACGAATATTTTAATAACATTTTAATAAATATATAAAACAGCAAATTAAGAAAGTACATATAATTTAATATTTTTTTATACATTATATTATTTATTGTCTTTGTATGAGAATGTAATTCTTTTTAATCCTTTTTGTTTGAATTTTCTCGTCAATTTCGCAAATCTCTTATCACAAACATTACAGGATACAAAATAAATTATTCTTCGGGCTCTTTAAGTAAAACTAAATTCACTTTAATAAAACACGAACAGCGAGATAAATGCATCCAATATAAATGAACGTCGTTCTTTTAGCTTATAGAATTTTATTTTAATAACGTCGATCTATCAATGCGACTGAATAGCAATATAGAGGCTGGATGGAATACCAAAAGTCAACCGCGAATCTCTCAGCGTGCGAAAGTTCGCTATCTCGGTAGGATTCGATTACCAGCTTGAATGGATGGTAATGCACAATAGAACAGACCTAACTAAACTTAGCCAGGAATCCAGTTTGTCCGCAGCCCATGTAAAAGGAAGCGAGGGCCGCGTGATCATCCCCCTGTTATCGAAGGGCGCGTGCACGATACGTGCCGACAAAAACTTGTTATTAGATTATATACCACAAGATTCGGGAACCCTTCGCTTATCAGGTTTGGAAGAGTGGGAGAGGGAGATCTATACTTGCCTATAGAAAACTATTCTAGTAATGAAGAATATCAACTGATATATATCGATGTGGAAGTCGTTCTTTTGGAAGGACAGATATCAAAAATATGTTGAAAGGTGTTGATAACAATACGGTGTCGAGAATGATGGTTTATGAAATCAAATCTGTTAATAGATATGGACAATAATAGTACGATTGATAAAACAATATCTAGATATTTTAACAAACATCAAGGGATTACGCCTAGTCAGAAATTTTGAAAAAAACCGATTTTTCAAAAACTACATTTTTAAAAGTATATAATGTGCTATATGATCCTGGAATAGATAACTATGTAAGTTGAAAAATTTTTAATATAGATTGCACTTGAAACTTTGAACGAGTTTTTCTCAAAATTATTTTTTGTGTATTTTTTATTTTATGGATTAAAAAATTTGATTTTTAAATGAAAATCGGTATCTTAACTTTGAATTTTGTCGGAATTCAATTTATCAAAATATTGATCGTTTAAAGATTAGATAAACTCATATATTAATGAAATCTTTTTGAATTTTTTATTTCTAATGATCTGGTTCCGAGCAGTACAGCTCACAAAATGCTTTTTGAAAAATAGTTTTCTATATATGTATTATAACTTTGTTATAAATTAATATTTTTGCATTAAAAATATGAAGACTTTGTCAAGAAAGGCTCTTTCAAACTAATTCTCACACTAATTTTTATATACAAAACTAGACATACATCTCTTAAAAAAAGAATTCACGAAAGAGTTCATTTTTTTCGATTTCGTAGCTATTGTAAGCGTAACCCTTTATAAGGATAAAAATGTATTTGCGATGACAGTAGTTTCTAATGCCATTCTGAAATAAAAAAATATAATACAGAAAAATAAAAATTTATAATATATAAATTAATTCAAAGTATTTAAACAATATGAACAGTGTATATTAGAAGGTATTTTTATCAATTACAAAATTGTAAATGGCAATATCTCTAATCAATTCGTGATTGATTAATAAAATTTTTATAATTCGTATCTTGATGTATAAATATATTCAAATCACATATTTATTGATAAAGTGTCGTAACAGAATTCAACAAAACGTATGTTCCGTATACTACAATTCACACACAAAACTTGTATAAGCTCTAGAAATCGATGACATCGAAATTCCAGTTGCTTGAAAAGAAGCTGAAGGTTATCGGCTTGAATGTAACTTTTTCTAGGTCACATAACATACATACATACCGAATATTATTTGTAGGACACTTCGCGTAATTCATTTCTATCATCTGTATTTTTATTGTTATGTATAATATACAACAGTATCGAATTGGATGATCTTTCTTTTATTCACAGATTACAATTGCTTGTGGAATGAAACAATTATAAAATTGTAACATAAAGTCACAAGTGATACAATAATACAAGAAATAACTTAAAAAATAATTAATAGATTTAATTTTCTTACGTAACTATGATTCAAAATAGAATTGTTAAAATTTTTTTTCTAGTATTATAGCTATGACATGAAAATACCAACGTTATTGCTAACATAAGTTTGCACGTGGCACTATCGGAGTGGCGAATTTCAACAGGATTGGTGTAATTAAGAGCCATTTCTACATGATTTTTCCTTAGTAGGATAGAGGGGAAACAGTAAATAGGGGCGAAACCCAGCTGCAGAGGGTACAACGCGATATAGGGGTAGCGGTATTTCGCGAAGCTTTTGCACGGCAGCATCGAGCTGCAGCGGAGGAATTTAAATTGATATCGATAGTTCGTCGTGGAATGCACAAATCGGTTCGTCACGGAATGTGAAAAACGCCGTATCACATGGGAGCTATTCGGACGATGATGGTTTTTGTTGAAAAAGATCAAACGTAAGCATTTAAAATACGCAATCCGTATTCGTTCCCATTGGCAGAATAAAAGGATATTACACCTGATTTCCTATAAGTTATCCGATTGGAAAGAAATAATTTTATAAAATTTATCTTTATATAATTAATAATAACATAATTATGATACATTTTTCTCAAAACGTAAAATAACTTACAGAGCAAGTTCTTATCTTTCATAGAAACATTTATATGTTTCAATAGTAAAATGAAAGTTATTTAATTTTTCACAATATGAACAAAAGACGTAAAAGAAGTATATTACAATACAATATTTTGCAAAATATTTTATAATATGCTACATAATGTAACAGCAATGCCAAGCACAATGTTACCTTCCTTATGAGCAATATGATTGATTGCGCAACATTAATGTTAAGCCCGAGTTACACACTTCGCTCCATACAAATCCTGAGCCCTATAATATATCACCACAGTCTGCTCAAAGCAGGTTCTCCTTGCGTTCTCTCTTTTTCTCGACTATACGAGGGCAGGAGCAAATTAGTCGGAAAATGATTCCCTGGACAGCATAATCGCTACGAAGAATCAACCGCAGTTGAGACAAATCGTTTATTGTATTGCAACAGAAAATCGAAATCTATAGATACACAGCCAATGTTAAACATTTAGTTAAATGCACAAACATATGCATTGCAAAAAAAAAATAAAATAACCAAATGTAGCCTTTTTAAATTTATATTGTAAATCAACTGATTTATGATCAACTGATTAATGATGATGAAACAAAGATTGAAATCTTATTTTGAATGAAATTAATTTATTTCTCTCTCGTTCAAGATTATATCTTTGTTTCATCATCATTCTTATTCGTCCATACTCAAAAATTACGTAGAAATTATATAATATAAATAAGAAATGAAAATAGCTAATAATATGAGATGAGAGTAGTTAATTTAATGTAGTTTCTAAAAGAAGATGCTAGAGAGAACTTCACACAATCCTGAATTCGCGACACAAATCTACATAATGCAAAGCGGCTTATCTTGCACCAGTTGGTCGTACGTGTTTGTTTTTCCTGAACGGTATACGCGTACAGTCGTTTGAGAGCCTCTGCAAACAATCTAGTCGAGCAGCGACGCGTGTGACGCGCAAAATGCGGGCGCTTCGGACCATCGAATACTGTTCCACCCTTGGCCAGGACGCTATTCTGTCGCTCCTGCCAGACGGGAAGAAGAGAGAAGATCGTCTTCTCGCAGACCCCTCGACCGGACGCGTGCCACGATCCACGGACCGAGATAATTGCGAATAACAGTACGACAAACGGCAAATACCACCATCTGATATCGTGTCTGAGGCGATTTCGTGTCAAACCGTTGATATGTGCTTCAATCGATGATGGTCTATGTAGCTATTTACAAAGATTATTGAAGCAGTCGAAACTTCTTTCAAGATGGATGAGAAAGTAAATTCTATCAGGTGTTTGCAATCGATATAAATTTTCAGAGCAGAAGTAACATAAATTGTTAGTATTATAGAGATTATAAAAAGTATAGAATAAGTGGTATTATTTCAAATATGGTACAATTCTGAACGCGAAACAAAATTTGGATCTAGTTTTCGAAGTTTAAGTTTAATAAATTCTCTCTCATTATGTGAAGGATATTGAAGAGCACCAAACAGGAAAAAATTAAACTTGAACTTCGAAAATTGAATTTAAACCTTATTTCGTTCAGAATTGTACCCTGTTCATAATTGTACCACCTTCTCCTATAGCAGATTATAAAGCATATATAATAAGAGGAATATCATTCATTTCGATTTATAGTTGTGTTAATCTTTTTTGAGTAATATTCATATTATTTTATGCATAATCGTTTTCCATTAATGGAATTCCTTTAATAGAAATACGTGATCCGCGTTCGTGAAAAGAATCCTCCGACAAGAATTGGAGATTATCCTACTAGGCCTTTAACGTCGGTTCGACTTTACCACGCGTCGAATCCCAGGCTGTTGCCATCAATGAAGGGCAATGTCCGTAGTTCGTGATGCCATGCGTCAATCATTGCTTAAAATCAGAAAATTAAAGTGTGATATCAAATAGACAAATCAAATATCAAATAAACAAATAACGCGTTTATTTAATATTTCTCATAAACTTAAAATACTATTACCGGTGTTAAAAATTTCTGTTTCTTAGATCAATGCTATCTAATATATATTTAAAATAATATTTAAAATAATTTTACAATATATATATAAATTTGAGATATTTAAGTTTAATGTTTTGTACAACGCCTCTCATATATCAACATGTGTGAGATAAAGCATAAGATTATCGAGCACACAAGGGTCAAAGTTTTTCGATACCGGATATTCGACGAAGTGAATCCATCATATTTCAAGGATCAAGGGATTTACGCTATCCTAAAAAAGGTGATAGTATTCGTAGGGTTCTTTTATGTGATGCCTGAGTTCCATTGATTGTTTCCGGATGAAATATGGAAGAAAATACGAGAAAATGTTTTTCTTAAATTTCGATCAATCATTTTCCTCTCCCTTGTTTATAGCTTCTTCGTATTTTTTTCTTTTTATGAATATTTTGTAAATAGGTATTGATTTAAACTAAATGAGTTTAACGCGGAATGCAAATAGCGGATTAGAAGGCTGAAATGTCTAGGCATTTATGTCAGAAAGAGAGAGAAAATAAAGTACTCGCTCCCCTAGTTGCATCAGAAGGCTAGGCTCTCATCGAATAGAAGCATTAGGCCTGATCCTCGCGCGATGTTCAGCCAAGCGGATGACAACGTACTCGGGAAGAGCTTAAATCTCTCTCTTGCCGCCTTTCCTCTTGCATGCCTTTAACTTACTCGAAATTACAAGGTCGCGTGTAATACAATAACACTCGGACACGTGCCATGTCAAAATTATTAATTACTTTGCTATTAAGAACCACTTGTCAACAATCACTGTAGTCACGATCGGCAGAATGATTGATTGGTAAAGTAGTAATTAATTTTTCGTCACACACATTTGCATAATTTTCGACATGGATACGCACTTTAGTGAAATTTCAATCAAATGAAATCGGACTGCAATTTTTCTCTGAGGGAATCCTTTCCTCTTGATTTTAGGACATCCACATTTCTTCAATCAACTATCATGCGGTCTCGATTTAGTGTCCATGGCTGGCGAGTGGTTAACTGCGACAGCAAACACAAATATGTTTACCTACGAAATCGCTCCTGTATTCATTCTAATGGAACATGTTGTTCTACAAAAAATGCGCGAGCTTATAGGCTGGAACGGCGGTGACTCTATTCTCGCACCAGGAGGATCTATTAGCAACCTTTACGCCTTTCTTGCGGCCAGGCATAAGATGTTCCCGTACTATAAAGAAAAAGGACTCTCTGCTATTGGAGGACAGCTAGTTATGTTTACGTCCGATCAGGTTCGTGTTTGAATTTAAATGTTTAATGATGTAATTTACGGTTCCCATATCTTCAAAAATTTTCTTATACTTTACAAAATTCAGCCTTCAATAATTGTTAGCAGAAAATGAGAACTACAGAAAAATCGAATAATTATAATAGAATCGTTATTAATTGTTAAAATTAGCATAATTTCTATCGAAATTACATAGGTTTCAAATATGTTGATTAATAACATTTTATACGTCTTCATAAGAGGAAATTGATAGTTTATCAATAGCGTGGATTATTAATGTCTGCAGTGCCATTATTCTGTGAAATCATGTGCGTCCGTTTGCGGCCTCGGTACGGATAATTGCGTGATGGTGCCTAGCGACGAACGCGGTCGCATTATTCCATCGAAACTGGAGGAATTAATCCTGGAGCGTAAGGCCAAAGGTCACATACCATTCTTCGTGAATGCCACTGCGGGAACAACAGTTATTGGTGCATTCGATCCGATCCCGGAAATCGCTGATATCTGTCAAAAATACAATCTATGGCTGCATGTCGACGTGAGTAACACTTTTCGGGGGAAAAAAGAATGAATTATGTACATAATATTTAATATATATTTATTTTATATTTGTACATAATTGTATTCTAAAACATATAATTTTAAATGTTTGTTTGACATCTTAATAATTATACAATGTAATATAAAGCAATATCTATTTTCAAATTTTTCTAGATATTGGACATGAATACAAGAATATATATATTAATTATCAATTAATTTTGCACAACCTATCTAATAATAACTAAATAATAACTAAATGGTAAATAACAACCTATTACATACAATTTATCTAATAATAACTAAATAGTAAATAATAAAAAAGAGATGTCATTTTAACTGAATAACTTTGAAAACCTACTTAAGCAATACCGTTTCAAACTAGATGTGCTTATGCAATCAAGCCCATTCAAATACGATTTAAGCTGTAAATGCCAAATGAGTAAGAACCTTAACCTAAATAATAGATGTGGGAAGCGGCAGAAGTTTCACCAGTACTATATCCGTTACAGGGAAAATTCAGAAAATACCGGATCTATAAGTCAGATTAAAAAATACTCAATGAAATCTCACATTTCGTCTTTCATGTTAATTTTTCGCATCATTTTTCTATTATCGAGTATTTAATCTATCATCAAATAACCATTTATTTCTTTTCCAGGCGGCTTGGGGTGGTGGATTACTTTTGTCGAGAAAGTACAGGCATCCGAAATTGACCGGCATCGAACGGTGAGTGCTAAATTTAACATTAAAATTTATTTTGATTTATATCTTCTATTTTAACAAACAGTTGAAAAAAAAGAGCAGACATAAATTTGTGTTAATAATTTTTTAATTAAAACTATCACAGATAATTTATCATAGATATTTTGTCACCATATTTATAAATCAAATATTGTTATTTTCCTACATATGTCTTTTTATAAATGTTGTGTATCTATTTTATAAATGTTTATTGCGTTATTTACAATTTTATTTACTTCCGCATCTGATATCGCGCACATACGTTCGATATAGGGGAGATTCCATCCATGAGCTTTATAGTTTATTGGAGCTTAGTTGGGCTTACGTATAATGGACTTTTCTAAAAAAAACACCTCAAACTCGATGCGCATAGCATATACGGGATAAAATCAATACGCTCCTTTCAAGATGGTTGTGATTCGAACGTCAGGCACTGCAAATGATTTTACATGAGAATGGTCGAAGGCAGTCAGCCCGTAATGTATTGCTCGCATAAACCGCGATTAGGATGCTACGAGGGGCTGGCGTCAGATTGCATTAGAGAATTTTTTGCATTAGAAATAATTTTATTATACGGAAAATTTAGACAGGGGTATTCAAAAGTAATGGAAAATATTATGACATATACTTTTATATTATAAATAGATTATATATTTTTCACATAAATTAAATTTTAGATTTTTATTATTAATTATATAATATATTAAAAATTGTGGAAAAATACGCTGGTCAACCGAATGTTTTAATAAACAGAATCCAATACAAATTATATTTACAAAAAAGTCCGCGAGAAAATGCGCAACTTGTGATTCACCTTGTATATCTGTGGACACGAATTCAACGGAACCCTTCGAGCTGTGATAGGGGTCAGGGGTACGGACGAGACATGCATGGGGTTGGCGAGATTAATCCACGATTTGCATCCAGGCGCATCTGCTCCCTCGATTCAGACAATCCCTGACCTGAAAATCGGTGTGAGAAGTCTCTAGAGAATGATTTATGTACAGAAAGAGATGGCAATTCATCTATCAGAATATACCACAGTATCTTTCAAGAATGTCGATAAGAACATTGTATCTACGTTAAGATACAATAATAAATACTGATAATGATAGATATTTCTTAAATTGACAAATTTGAATAATTAAAATGATTTTTTATACTTATTTTACAAACTCTTCAACATATATTTTGCTGCAAATATTTCCAATTTATTTGAAGACTATCACAGTTATGAATTTTTTTCCGCTATCTCGATCGTAGATGAACGTTTGCGATTTTTCTGCGTGGACTGTACTGCGACGGGAACTTCCTTCCTGGAAGTCTTGATTAAAATGGCAAACGAAAGGCGCGTATAGAAAGATCCGACGCATGAGCAACAGCTGGATCAGTTCCCTGGAGCACATTTGCAGAACAGAATTCTCCTCTTACATCGACGCGCCGCGGCGCCATCATCGTGCCTTCCTCCGCAAGCCTGAAATAAAAGCCCATGCCTTGACAATGCCGGATTAAACTCGTACAAAGAGAACTGCCTCCCTTGTTCCCGGGTCGGTCCTCTTTCCTCCTCCTCTGTTCCCTTCGCATCCACGTCCCAGATTACACAAAATCGAGAAAGAACGCTGTGATTTCACCTTCATGGTAAAGTTGAAATGATCGCTCTTAAAAAGATAGGTCGATGAAGACTGTGTGGATATATGTGAAGTTCAGAGTTCGGAGTAGCCATTTGTTAAGAGTAGAAATTCGGACTACTTGTTCAACTTTCTTCAAGTCAACTCTGAGTTCTTAATTACAAGTTTCTAGTTTCTCTTAATCTCTTTTGAGGAAGTCTAATTATTATTTAATCCTTATCATTATACATAGAGATATCTTCTATAGAAAATGTTTGACTTGTATTTTCATAAGACTTATCTTCTCTTTGTCATTAAAAGAATATACTTGCCGATAAAGATTAACTAATGTTATTAGCATTCCTTTGATCATTATTGAGTCAGAAGCGTAAGTTTTGCGCTACCATATCGGCGAACATAGAACTTCCACATATGTATACGTGCATTACGCTAAGAGTGGGTAATTAACATCCCCAGTAATATATATCAAGCGGCTTTTGGGGTTGGCACCTTGGATGAATTTAAAAGTGAATGGAGGGGCGCCGTATGCGCCAGTTTCAGCTGTGAATCTCATTAATCACTTGCTTTATACACGCTTCTCAAGTAAGGCCTGTGCGTCTTATGTGAAGAAAAAAGTTTCTATTTAATTCTTCTTTTCTACTAAATTGATACTCCTAAATTTTCGTAAAAAATTTATAATAAGTTTTATGTAAAAAGTGTAAAGTGCTATTTTAATTTTAATTTATCACTATAATTAAAATATAAAAAATGATAAATTACGAAATAATTCGAACAAATATTTTCTTGCTTAAATTAATGTTTTCTTTTAAATATAAGTTTTTTTATTGCATCAATATTTATTCAAATTTAAAATGAAGAATGTTGTAGAATATTTATTTTGCTTGTCAAATTTAATATACAATAAAAAAATATAAGTGATTATAAGTTAGTTCTCTACAGATCGTAACAAAAAATAAAGGTAAATAAAAATAGAAAATGGACATTAATGTTAATTTTTGTATTAAAAAAATATTACATAAGAGATCAAATTTTATTTGTTTTAAACAAATTAAAGGTCTATTTGACTTAAACAAATAGATATGTCGATCTGTAACATAAAGAAGGATGCACACGAGTGAATAATGGACAACGTCTGTTAATGACACGAATCGCGCTTCAAGGGTGCTTCAAGAGTACCCTCGTATCATTCACAGAATATTCAGGCAGCACGCAGGACTGGCGTCGCGATAAACATGTCACTTGCCAAGTATCAAATATTTATTATAAAGCACGCACTTATATACTTGAAGCAAAGTTTTACAAAAAAATGACACGTACCTTTTCAGTTTTCCATAAATCCGACATAATTTTATCCGTGTATAGATATTTATAACGAATACTATTTATCACAACACTTTGTTTTATTTACCATATTTTTCATCAGATTTAATTCTTTTATGTTTCAATAATCTTGCGCACCACTAATCGCTAAAACAAAACCACAAATTTGGGTCGAGGAATGTGGATTCTCACATATCACAATGCTTTTTCAAGGATTAAGAAGGGTTAGAGGTTTTTACCGCCAGAGTGGGTCTCCGAGGACCAGGGGGTTAAATCCGGTCCCGTGGCTATATTAATAGCTCTTCTCTCGAATTGATAGACCCCCTTCCGTGGGCACGGCGGGAAGATAACTCATATTTTATCCCCTATTGGTTCCCGTGGGAGTGGATAAGAGTTTGACGACCAGCTGAGGTCGGCTGGCTTTTTCAGTCAGCTAGTCGAAGGCTTGCTTCGACAGGTTACTGATAAGGCAAAAGAAAAATAATTTTCTGCATTGTATTCGTAAAATGTACGGCTTATTTGATACACTTTGTTATCATAGAGATCTTTCCTATTAATGAGATAAAATTGAAGTGAGTTTTTCTTAGCATAAAATTATACTTTGTACATTTACAAAGAAACCTAATGATACTTTAAATGTTTAGGAGAATAACATAAACACATTAATTTACTTTTACCGTATAAATTCCACATTTAAAAGTACAAAAATTAAATATCTTTTAAAAGTATAAAAATTAGATATCAAAGAAAATTTGAAATTTTTGTGAAATTCCAACAGTGTATAATTTTTCAGAGCTGATTCAGTGACATGGAACCCACATAAACTTATGGGAGCTCTGCTTCAATGTTCCAGTATTCACTTTAAGGAAGACGTAAGTCATGAAATTAGACGTTATTAATTAGATAATATTATCATTAAAACAAAAAATCTTTAAATTAAACAACACAACAGAAATTAAAAATGATTATTATCGGTAATCTAATTCAACAGGAAATACTACAAAAAAATATTATTAATACTATTTTCTTGTTTGTGTGTGCTACTTATATATCATTCCGATTTCTGACACTTTATTTTTTCTTTTTTAATATTTTATTCTCACACGACCGAGAGGGGTTAAGAAATAAATATATAAAATAATAATATGCACAAATAAACGGTAACATTGCACATCCACGTTTAAGACGTCGCACTTTTAGAAATCTTCCATGTTTCCGAGAGCACTGAAATTCCTGCATTGCGTAAGGGCAACGAGACAACACTAGTCGCATTCCAAGGGGTAGACCTACGTGCCGGGGCGCTTGGCACTACAGGAATTTAATTAAACTAAGAGATAACATATGTTGCCGTCCGTCTACAGCGCGCGCTATCGGGGAGGGTCTATCTCCCCACGCGACTCAGTTATTGCTAACTCCGAACTTCCCCTTCGGATATTAAAATTCCGTGCACCGGCTGCCGCGAGATATCCGGGGGAGAACGCGTCGTGCTTTTGTCGAACCGCGTTGCCGTTGACGTTGAAGCGCGATGTCCAAGGGATGCTTTGTTAACATTGACAATTGTGTTGTTTCATTTATTGATGACAGATCTACAAGACGAGTATGTGAAAGTATTTATTTTTTTATATTTATAATAATTAAATGATTATTCTCTACTACTTATCAACATTAGAAGACAATAAGCAATAATGACAATGCTTAAACATGGGAATTAAAGAATTTTTTCCTTAGTTTAAAAGTACTGCATTCGTTAATTACATAAATCAACGTTATATAAAATTCTTTAAGTGACGTAGAACATTCATAAATAGTGAAGCAACTAAAAAATAATCTTGTCTAAAACAATGGTGGTCAATAATGGAGTGCAACATTGGTGCGGCATATCCGCCATTTTGTAAATTCAATATCCTGAGTATTCCTCCTCACGCGCATGTGTTGAAGTGTCGTATCGACCCAGACGGACTCGCCCTCTTCCTCCTCCGGCGACCTGTCAATCGTAAACCATGCAAAACAATTCCGGAAACTCTTCGTTATCGGAAAAATGTTATAGACACCCGTCTCTCGTCTGTTTTGAAAGCGAGAGCTGTTTCCATTTTACAGGGGCTACTGATCAGCTGTAACCAAATGTCCGCGGAATATCTGTTTATGACGGACAAGCTGTACGACGTGAGGTACGACACTGGCGATAAGGTCATTCAATGCGGGCGTCACAACGACATTTTCAAGCTTTGGTTGCAATGGCGCGCCAAGGTACAAAATCCATTGCATTGTTACAGAAAGATGATTTTACGCTTTTTCATTAGACGTCAACATTCTCCTCGGCATTATTCTCAGCAACATGTAGGCTGCATTTCCACAGCGATTGAAACTGGGAAATGAATCTATTACTTTATTATTTAGGGAACAGAGGGTTTTGAGAAGCACATGGATCGGCTGATGGAACTGACGGAGTACATGGTTAGAAGGATTAAACAAATGCCCGACAAATATTATTTGATCCTCGAACCTGAATTAGTGAACGTCTGTTTTTGGTATCTACCTACGCGCGTACGAAACATGCCACATACCGCGGAGAGAATAAAAATCTTAGGCGAGGTGCGTTTGATGAATTTAAATACAAAGTATAACATTTAATAAAGCCGAACAAAGTTCAATTTTAGAAATTTTCTTCCGGAGAAATTTTAGAATAAAAGAGAACTATTTATGCTTCTCTCTTCTTTCTCTAGATATGTCCAATTCTGAAAGGTCGCATGATGCAAGCTGGCACTCTGATGGTTGGTTACCAACCGGATGATCGACGGCCCAACTTCTTCAGGAACATCATTTCCAGTGCCGCTGTAACGGAGGCTGATGTCGATTTTCTCTTGACTGAGATGGATCGATTGGGCCATGACTTGTAAGAAATCTGTCCATATATAGGCAATATAGGCATTAATCGTACGATGTGCAGCGATTAGCCGACTGGTACACCATATCCGTGATTTGTCTGACAATGAGTGCATTTTTCGCGCGTTCTAAAAAAATTATAAATTCGAGACTCAGGTCACAAAATTTAGAATCCACCAATATGAACGTAAGGCATACGAAGAAATAGGCGGTTTTATTATTACGATGGGAGAGAATATCCCTGATTTTATTTTCTCTAATTTTTCCGTCAAAATGACGTCACATTTTAATAACGAATAAATGTCGTCAATTATTTATTTTACTTGAATAAGGTTTTATTTATTAACCAAGATTATAATATAATTTTTTTGTAAACTTCATTTCACACATAGTGTAAAGATATTAATTTCTAATTAATTTAGTATCTATTTAAATTTTGATTAGATTGAGCAAGGAAACATTTCTTGTGAATTCTCCATTACGCATTTACCCGTAAACATTCATTCATCGTTCCATAACATGTTTTATAAAATGTAAATGAATCGATATAGTTTATATTATCATAGTTTATTAGTTCATCAAAAGAATAATTTAATTCGGCTCATTATTGAATAGAAAAGGCGAAGATATTAGTGAAGGATTGATGTGTAGTTAAACGCTTCTTTAATCTGCGACCAGTTTGCAGCAGCTACCTGCACGTCGAAAAATATACGTAGAGTATAAGTTTTCTAGATTTAAACGAAATACACGGCATATCCAAGAAACGAAGTTATGAGTCAAGTTACAAAGTTAAAGATGCTTCCGGCCGTAACCTATGCAGATATTTTTTGCTGCTGGATGCGCGATAATATTTAGTGATGCAAGTGATGAAATTATCGATCATTCATTAATCGAAGCAATAATAGTGTACATCTGCTTTCCAAATGAAACATTTAAATACAAATTTTCATCTTGAAACGTGGATTATGATGTCGTTCAAAATTTACATATCGAAAACTTCTTTTTAATATGTATACTATTTTTGTGCATGACATATCAAATTACTTTTGAAAGATTTAGTATAAAGTTAGAAATGATTCTTTAAATTTCTGAAAGAATTTTCTTCTTGCAAATATTTAATATTTATGAACATGTTAAATTAAATATATTTAATTTGTTAATTAATTTTTGTACAGTTTATTTGAAGATACTATACACCATTTGCTGTGTTTTATGCTCTTATTAAGTTTTCCTTTTTGCCCATTGATTATTAGACGTCTCAAATATATTTCTGAGATCTTTAATAGTTCAAATTATTAAATTATTGTTACGTAGCTAAAATTGTTTGACAAGCTTGTTAAAAATTATACAAAATTAATCAAAGTTGAAAAAAATAAATTCCCAAGCATTCAAATAAAAATATTTATCATAATTTAATCAGAATCTGCAATTTGTCCATAATACACTGGAACGAAAGCAAGTCTGTTTTCTGACTGTGTAAAAATCTGTTTAGAATGTAAATTGTAAGCGCTGTGGCTAATCTATCGGAGCTTAAATGTTGCTCTGTTCCCATTGTACGATTTGCAACGAATCGTCAGCCAATAGCTACGGAATAGAAAATTTCTATCGCCGTAGCGTTAGGGATAGATAGCACAAATACGACATTATTTCCTATAGAAAATAGGTTAAGTTATTAATTAACACCGGGCGTTATTCTGTTGAAATATTGACGAAGTTTATAATTTATCGATTGTTTGCGGAAGTAACGTTACAAGATGGACTTCATCTATCATATACAAAAATATATGTATATTATAATTTACTGTTAAACAGTTCTAACCGAAAGGAGAGTATTAATATATTTAATATAGATATATAAAAAAAGTATAAATATATAAATATATCAAAACATATATTTAGTGTTGAAATTTTAAGAATACAAAACACAAACCCATGAAAGTACATGCTTTTTCGAATATTCGTGCGAACGATTGTCATTTTATAATTAGTTCGTCGATTCTGTTAGAAATTTGTAATATTATTCAAACGTCACAAACACACTATTGAAAGTAATGATTGCACATCACAATAAATTGTGCGATGCAACAATCATTTTCAATATTCTCTTATATTAATTCTCAAGAAAGTATAATCTTGTAATTTTTTGATATTTATTGATAATAACTCATTTCCTCTTATTTCGTGAGCATTATTTGAAATTATACAAATAATAGATACGTACTACAAACACAATGAATTTATTACGAATGACGATCACAAGCGTTTCGATCTGTTTGACACTTGCAATAGAACAATTCTATAGATTTCGATTCACTCGCCAATACGGAATAACAAGAAAAAGACATTTAAGTAAGTAATATGAAATATCTAGATGTAACTACACAAGAATTATAAGTGTATTTATGTACACACGCATCTTCGGATTACACCGCGTTTCTTTTTCTGTCGACGATTGCCGTGTCGTCGTGACAATAATTCGTGACATTAATTAAGTTTAGACGAATATATTTAGATGGGGAACCGCAGTTAGTGCCGGGATTAAATTAATACAGGATTAATCGAAGTAGAAAGCAATCGATATATCCTGTTACTTGTAATTTAATGCCAAAGATGTTATTCCTATGTATTTAAATGAAAGCGCTTGTGGCTGATGGATTATAGAGGGTGATGTCAATTCAATTTGAAACGTTTGTAATGTGTAAAATACAAAGCGCATTATATATATATATGCTGAACTCTGCCTCAATGAGACAAATAAATATAAAATTCATTAAAAGGAAAGTAATTTATTGTAGTGTGTCGATACTTTTGGGTAAAAAGAAAAATAAAAGATTTATTTTTCTCTATTTAAAATATATTCCTCTTTTATCTGCTCTTACATAAAATTTGTATATAAAAAGCCATTAATAAAAATCTTTATTATCAATTGAAATAAAAATATAAACATTTTGTCAATATAATAATTTTATAAGGTAGAAAATATAAAAGTTTTTATAAAGTAGTTTTCAAAACAAATTACAGCTAATGTTGCCAAAATTTGAAGTACTGTAAAATTAAATTGTATTTGTTGATCCAGAGTTCAAGCAATTCATTCGCAATCACTGTGCGCCAAAGAAGGGACAAAATGTATTTTTCGAGAAGAAAATTAATTAAATGATTCACATCTGACCAGCAAACCGATACCTGTAAAAAAGAATTCTATCGAATCATTGTTAATTATTATTCATAATTCTATCGGCGTTGCGAGTTTTTTTAGACATAGTCGTTGGCACTGCCGACATAGTAATCAATGCTACTCAAAAACGAATCTCTCTCTTGTGGTTACACATGTCTTATTAATTCCCGTGTAAATGATCTTGAATTTTTTAAGCGAAGAGTGATATATTTGTACGGAAATACTCGTCCCTGTAGACTCCTAATTAATTTGCTTGTATAATTAGCAGATATACTGACACGTTTGGTACCGTACTTTACTATGTGTAAAATATTTTTACGCATATTTGCGGTTTAATGTCAGTATAATAGATATTAGTAATAATATTAATGTAGTAAAGTATTAAAATTTATTACATAAATTACACTAATAAAATTTAGAATTGCAAATGTTATATTAATTTTTTGTAGATAATCAGTAAATCGTATTATAAAAACTTTGTACATAAAATGCCATTTTAATGCGTGTGAATATTTTATAATTATTGTTGGCGCGATATAAAATTTTAAATATAAACTTTTTTTTAAAATAAATATCATATTTAATTCTTATATAGTATTATGCATACACATGGAGAAAAAATTTATTAAATCTTGATACATATTTTTTTACAATAGTATTAATTTAATATTTACTTACAGTAAATAAATTGACTCAATAAAAACGTGATAATTGAAATTAATGAATCTTGCATTAAATAAACGTATATTTAAATTTAATAAAATTCTAGTACTATTCAAACAAATATTTATTAAAGTTTAATATGTTTTTTCAGTGTAACATATATATTTAAATATCATGTATATTTTTAAAAATGCACTGCACGATTTACATTTTTGTATAATGCACTCTTACCATATGTGCCATCTCCTGCATTCTGCTTTTATAATATATATATGTTATATTGCACATATAAAACCTCAACATTATTATGTTTAAAGCATTGTGCTAATAATAAACTTATAAATTCGTTTTGCCTTTTTCGACGGTCTACATCGACGAGAAATACGTATATATGATATGTATTCAACTAAATCTTTTACTTCGATTGTGTTAACGAAGTAAAATATTGTCTCATTCTAATAAACGTCATTAATATGACTAAGTTCCTTTACTGGCGATTTGTCGCGCCGACGTTAAAAGTCGTTAATCTCATTAATTATTAGTCTAATTATTAGTCTAAGTTGGTAAACAAAGCAAAGCAACAACAAAGTCCCACGTCTTCCAAACGATGAGAGTATTGATTAGTGATTTAGCGAAGAAAACCTCGAAATACTTTCGAGGGGAAAGCTGTCCTTATATACTGTAATGAGAAATACATTTATATATATATATATATATACATAGAAAAAATATATATGTACATGCGTGTGCGTAAGATGTCGTTGATATGTGAACGAGAAGCGAAAGTCAAGAGTATGTGCGGCGATGTAGGATCTTTGCTAGCACATAACTATGTTGTTCGAATTCCGCCTACACCTAATTGCCCTTATTATCCACTGTATATCAATGTCTAATAAACTGCTGTTATCCCAAATTATTAGTATATGTATCTCGTATAAATCTCTTGTTTCTATTTCTTTTTTTTTTAAATTAAGTGAAAACTAACACATTAAATATAAAATACATCGACACTATATTATTTTCGCGTAAAAATTCTATAATAATTAAAAAAAATAATTAGAGACTTTAAGAAGTTTATTTATACCAATTTAATATAAAAAAATTTATCAATTAAAGAAAATGAGTGAGTGGAAAATAGATTATATATGTTACACAACAATAGTCCATTCGTTTTTATCGTATTTAACAAGTTTAACTGATCAACATTCAAGGCAAAATAAAAATAGTCGATTAAATGATTTTCATTGCATTAATGAGCGGAACTAGTTAAACCAGAGGCTCGCCGATAACAAACATCGTAAACAGGTATATAAATGACTTCCCAACTCAGGCTTGGTGGGATTTCACGCAACTTATCAGATCGTCGTTAGTAGCACATGCGACAGAAACCGACTCGACAGACAGACGTTCGTAGTAGCTGTAATCATGAAATCTTTCATCAATTACTCGGCATCTAGCGATTTCCCGATTGAAAATTTGCCATACGGAATCTTCTCAACAAAAGATAAGGTGAGCAAAACCAATTACATCGTAAATTACGTATAAATCATGCCACGTCATATGATTTCAGAACAATTCTAAATATAGGTATATAACTACGAATTTTCAATTTCATTATGGTTTAGGAAGTCATGAATTATATTGTGACGAAATATAGTAATCTTTTATGGATTTTTGTCGTATTTTTGAAAGATTGTTGGAAAAGTTGCATAATAAAATATTAGGTTGCATATTTCTTCATGTGATATCTAACAGCAAAGAATGGAATGGAAACATTCCATTCTTGCTCGCATTCAACGCCGTCTAGTAGAAATTTATATTGTGGTACCATCGGCTGGTACATTTATACTGTCGTTCGATAATTTCAATATCTTCATAAATTCCAATAAATTATATTATTTTACTCTATAAAAAAATTGTCAAATTTATTAGATACGCTATTAAAATACAAGAATTATTATAATGCATTATTAATTATATAACAGCTACATATTATTATATTATGATCGATGTAATATAAATAATATTTATTTAAAATATTTTAGCCAGACAAAAAGATTGGAGTGGCAATTGGTGATCGAATTTTGAATTTGAGTGCTATTTCAAATTATTTCGATGGACCATTGTTGCAAAGTAAGCAAGATGTGTTTCATCGTGATTGTTTAAACGATTTTATGTCTCTCGGAAGGCCAGCATGGCTAGAAGCAAGATCTAAACTTCAAGAGCTGCTGTCTGACAGTAATCATACTTTGCAAGATCCAGAATTCCACTCCAAGTGAGAAATCAATAAACTTTTTCTTCTTCTTCTTCTTCTTACGTTAGATCTCTGGCCTGCACTAAAAAAAATGCACGTAATTTTACATGGAAATTACATGTATATGACTGGAAAATTATCTAAATTACATAAATATGCTTGAAAATTTACTGGAAATTGTAAATTTCCAATCATATTTAGGCAATTTTCCAGTCATGATCATGTAATTTTCATGTAAAATTACATGCATTTTTTTTAGTGTGTTACACCTCTCATACGCTTGTGGTGCGCACACTGATTATTTAATTGCCACGAGCATATGGGACCTACAGTTTTAATGCCGGTTCCGAACGACGGATTTTTCGAGAGGTGTTTCTGTGGGCAAGGATACTCTCGGGAGGTTGCCGGCCTTTTCCGAGAGGAGACACGAGCGTAAATATTTTTGGCTTTGGGTTCCTACTGATTGAACCCGGAACCTCTGGCATGATAGACCAGTGCGCTGTCTGCCATGCCACTCTCGAAATCAATAAAAAACGAAAATTAATACTAAAAATTCAGATCTTAAAAAATCGTATTATAATCTCTGTGTAACATCTTTTTTAGAATTTTTGTCGCTCAGAAAGATGCTATAATGCATTTACCAGCCAAAATTGGAGATTACACAGATTTTTATTCCTCTCTTAATCATGCTACAAATGTCGGTATCATGTTCCGTGGCAAAGAAAATCCGCTGATGCCAAATTGGTAATTTTCTTATTAATATTATTTTATGTTTGTACTTTAAAAATTATTTGTACTGTAGAATAAAATATTTATATAGGAAATATTTGCCAGTTGGTTATCACGGAAGAGCAAGTTCTGTTGTTGTGTCAGGCACACCTATAAAACGACCGTGTGGCCAAACACTTCCTGTTGAAGGTGCAGCACCTGTTTTTGGGCCCTGCAGATTAATGGATTTCGAGCTCGAAGTTGCTTTCTTCGTCGGTGGTCCATCTACAAACCTGGGTGATACTGTTCCCGCTTCTAAAGCGTATGATCATATTTTTGGGATGGTCTTAATGAATGATTGGAGCGGTACGATATAATTAAAAGAATTTCGTACTTCAATTAATTTAAATTTTTATTTCGATTTTTTATTTGTTTGGTAGCAAGGGACATTCAGAAATGGGAGTACGTGCCATTAGGACCATTTGGTTCAAAAAATTTGGGCACGACAATTTCTCCATGGGTTGTTACAATGGAAGCTCTAGAACCTTTCAAAGTATCAAATATGACCCAAGATCCAGAACCGTTTCCGTATTTGCAACATAACGAGTCTTGTAACTTTGATATTAAATTGGAAGTTGACCTTAAACGTAAGCTGTCACTTTTTTATTACTTTTCTTATAGTTATTCACGTTCCTATATGTATTGCTTAAATATTTTATTTTATTATATAAAACAATTTTAATTTTTTTTTGCAGCATCAAGTGGTGTAGTCACGACTATATGCCGGAGCAATTTCAAACACATGTACTGGACTCCGCAACAACAACTGGCACATCATACTGTTACAGGATGCAACATTAATCCTGGCGATTTAATGGGATCCGGTACTATAAGTGGAAACGTGCGTTTAAAATTTAGTATTGCTATAATCGGTATTATTAATACAATTAATATGTTAAATTAGCTTTTGTCAAATTTATCTGTTGACTTCTTTCGTAACTTTTATTTTTTTTAATTACGTAAATTATGAATTTTATTTTACATTTCATGATATAAAATATTTATTTAGACTTCGGATTCTTACGGTTCTATGCTGGAATTATGTTGGAAAGGCACACATACCATTCCGCTAAAAGATGGTACTACAAGAAAATTCCTTCAAAATGGTGATGAAATAATTATTCGTGGTAAGTAAATAAACTATTTATTATATGTACATATAAAATTACAATAATCAATTATTTCATTGTTCTCCAGGTTATTGTGATGGCGATGGTTATAAAGTCGGTTTCGGAACATGTACGGGTAAATTGTTACCTGCTAACAACTAACAAGTGAAATTGGCGCGCATAAGGCAAAATTATATTCTATATATAACTGTCTTTTATATATTTTATATTAAATTTTTAATACTTTATATATATAATAAATTACTTATTATATACTTATTTCCCATCTAATTTATTTTTCCAATTCATTAATAGCGAGATTTGAAAAAACATTTATTTTTAAATTAAAATTAAATCAAATTTAATTATATATGTATTAATTAAACGGTGGATTCTATCACGAAACTCTACATATATAAAGATGTATATCAATTATATTTTTTACTTCATTAATTATAAAATAATTAATTATTTATATAATATTTCGCATTTATTAATAAATACAATTTATATAGCGGAAAATGTAAAAATTAAACGGCGGACTACAATGTGCTTAAAGAAATAATGTGTGTGGTATGACGTACAGAATAACTCGATTATTGATTGCGAGGATAGTCGCAGTAAGGTCGATCAATAAGGAGGCCAGTACAGGTGCAGTTATAGAAGAAACATGGCAGGCGTTCTACTTCGGTAAATAAAATACACAAATTTGAGTTATAACGATGTTCTTATTCTTAAAAGATTATTTAATACATTATTTTAATTTATCTCACTGTTACCAATAACTTTGTTTTCATAAATGTATAAGTTACGCAATATTAAAGAACTAATACACTTATAGTCGTGATTGCACTGTAACCACAATACGTAATCTTAATGAATTATATTTCGTTCGTTTAAACACACGCAAGCAGCCATGCACAGACTATTATTTATAAAAATACATATATACACATTTTTAGAAGTGGGAAATAACAAGTTACTTTTAACATTATTAGCCATAAACATTATCCCTATAAGCGCAAAATGTTCCTAGAATGTTACATGAATATTATCAAAAAAAAATTAAAATAATGTTATATAATATTTCGAAAATATCATAAATATTTTTTTAATATTACAGGAGTATTCTATAGAGGTTATATGTCCACTTATATAATAAACCTAGGTATTATATTTTTTTTTAAACGTATACTTATACTGAACAGATGTAACAGTTTTACAAATTAAAGTAAATGCTGTTATAATACTTTCTAATGTTTATACGATACAGTAACATTAAATAAATGTTACTTTTAATAATCATATAATATTATTAGGAGTGGACATATAACCATCCATTAATATTTCAGGAATATTATTTAATATTATATAATTTTAGTAAAATATTATTACAATGTTATATTTAATATTCTGAGAATATGCCTAAAATATTATTTAATATTAAATAATATTATGCCCTTATAGATCTTAGGTTCAATCAATTAGCGACATAGATAAGTGATTGTCACTTTAAAAAAGTGTTATCAAAATTTGGTGAAAAAGAAATGGAAATTATAACGATTCGTCAAATTTTAAATAATGATAAACATAACAAATTACTTTTTAAATTAGCAATGAGTAACGGCAACGAGTTACTTTTATAAAGTAACTTTCCTACTACACATTCTAATCATTATTCTAACTTTATTACACAGTCTCTAATGTTGTATCCTGTAATTATTGTCGAAAGTGATATATCGATTGCTACATTCAAATGCTGTTTGTAATAGTACTTTACGTTTGGCATTAATTTACAATTTCAGCACATATAATTTTCTACATATAATTTTTTGATATGTATAATATATTACAATATTTATAATACATTATACAGTATTTTATTATTATTAGTTTTTAAATGTTATATATGCGTTTATTTTAACGTCTATTTAGAAGTCTTCATAATTTGGAAACTTCTGCAAACGAACCTACTGCCAAATGGACGGTTCCTTTGAGTGACGGGAATCACGTGGTAGAGTTTGAACATGGTACAGCAACAGGCCGACGTGTGGTAAAAATCGATGGCAATAATATAGTTCATAGAGATTGGATGTTTCGTCTAGTCGGTGATGAAGTCTTCATGTTTAATAATACCAAATTTGTAATCAGAGTCGATCCAATGCCAGGTAAAGTCTTATTATTATTTTATCCTTGCGATGATAAATGTATTATATCGTTATAATGATTATATAGGTCTGAAATATTCTTATTCGTTATGGGTGAACGGAAAGAGTTATAAGCAATTTGTCCAGTCGCAATCAAAAATACTAGAAACTTGGTTGGCCAAAGTTGGGAACGAAGAATATAGAGTTGTATTAGGTAATTGATCAAAGCAGTTAATGTATTGTATATAGAAATATTCCTATTTTATGACAATTGCAGATAAACACGCTCACAGCGTTTGGGTGAATGGACAAGAAGTGGAAGTTGAGGTAATAATAAGAATAGAAATATCCATCATTATGCTTTTATGTATTTAATATATAACAAATGTTGTTTAATATGAAATATATAAATTAAATAACGATTTGTACGTAGAATGAATTTATGGACGGTGGTGCAGAAATTCTTTTCTCCGTTGGTGATTTACCGGCCGCTATTAGATCTTACAGTTCGGAACAAAAAGAAATCGGTATAGCGTACGTTTTATACATCAATAATGTTGAAATACAACAAGATGCTTTAGTGGAAGAGTCTTAAATATGCGTCTCTTCTAACTAAATTTTTCATGTTTGATATTAATTGATAAGTATAGATGCACATCATCGATAATTATAATTTATGTGCATCATTAATTAAATAACTATAAATGTGAAACAGTATTAAAAAAGTGTTATTCTTGTAATATTTAAACTTAATATTAGCACTATCAAAAATGTGTGCCATATAATTTGTGTACATTTTTTTAAATTATAAAATAAAGTTGCATGTAAATGCAATACATTATAAATGTACTTGTTTTAATTTACCCAAAAATAAGTTTTATTACTAAAAAGTAATACTTGAAGATAGCTGGAATTTATATCTTTGTGTGACATAGAAACTATGACATAAGCGGAATTGTTTAAATATATATGTGTATTATGTAATTTTAGATATTTACAATAAAATGTCAAATTTTCAATGATCGAAAAAGATTATGTTATTTAAAGATTAAACGTGAAGACTAAACATGTCACGACAACAAGATAGTGCCTTTAGTATCGGATCTTTAGTTTTAACTCCTAAACAAGATGAATTCTGTTATGAAGGTATAAAGAAATCTATGTAATTTAATTATATCTTAAAAATCACGAAAAGCTTCATTGATCTAGATATGACGGAAACGGAATTACGACAAGTACTGGAAAATATTATTTATTCGAATCTATTCCTGAGGTTAGAAAATGACATTTTTGAACGGTACCTCGCGCGTCGAAATCCTGAAAGTCTTCAAAGTAATATTTTTATTTAATTCATGTATATTTAAAATTTTTCTGAAATTCTGATATTCCCATCTTAGATTAAACTTTTTGCAGATATACTGATTAACTTTATCTTTTAATATATCTTGTTTAGCAATAGCGCAAATCTTAGAAACCGCTAAACGCGTACAAAAAATCGCACCTCAACACAGTCGCACATCACCCGTTATGAGCGCAAGCGGAAGTCTTGTGAATGTTCGCGACAAAGATTCAGCGAGCGTCGCCAGCGTCACGCCAAGTCGACACGTCACGCCGAGTCTTTTAACAGCCAGAGCACCAAGTGGAGGAACAAAGTCTGTCCGCTAGACACTATAACTTCTGCTACAGTTTCATTAGTTACAATTACAACATTTCTTGCTGAATCCTAGAATTACATATATGCATCGTATTGAAATGGTAAACACCGAAATCCGGGAATTACAGAAAAAAATAGAAAAAATCGAACAAACATCTACAAAGAAAAAGATATATTTGCGAGCACGAATGGAAGAAAATCAGATCAGCATTCGTGAAATTTTTAAGAATAGGGAAGAATTTGAAGAAAATGTTGTACAGAAAGGCATAGATAGCATTATGAGGAAAATACCGGCTGAAAAGTTTATCAGGTGTTATGATAAACATTCCACAGTTATATGTTAACTCCTTGATAATCATATAGATAGATCATATAAAGACATAAAAGATCTAAATTTATTGTGTAGATTTATAGAAGACTCTTTGAAAGTAGTCGACATAATAACAGAACAAATCAGATTGAAGATGGCTACTACAAAGTGTCAGATAAGAAAAGTCAAGTTGCAGCTGAGGCATAGGAAAGAACTGGGTGAGGCTTTACGCGTCATAGACTTCGAACAATTGAACATAGAAAATCAAATTTGCGTACAAAAAATCGACGAAAAAAATCAGTATTTACTCGAAATGAAGAGAATCGCGGGTAAGAGACAGATACTAGATTTTTTTGCAGTATATTAATTAAATCAACAAAGTCGAATTTATTATAGGCCGCTATAACATTACATTAAGCAAATATAAGGAAAAAGTGGATGGTCTAATGTTAATTATGAATGAAGTGAGAAACAAAATTGTTTCCAAGAAACAGGAGATTGTAAAATTGCAATCAGAACAAATTGCTACAAAGATTGAAATAGACAAAGAGGAAAAACAACTTAAATCGATAATGAAATTAATAAATAACTTTGAGGTAACATTTGTTTTTATTGTCTGTAATAACTTAATACATTAAATTTTAATATATTTTTTTTATGGAGATTTCTTTTAGAACACACAATATTTAATTTTTTATACAAAAGGTTATAAGACTTAAAAAAAATAAAAGAATGTTCATAATTATTTATTATCCTATTATTTATAAAAAAATATTGTATATACAGATTCCGAGTGTTATAGATTCTATTAAATTGCGTATGAAGCTACAGGAATTACAAAAAATCCATAAGCGATTAAGCAGACGACGAGAAATTCAACGAATAACATTCAAGTTTCGGAAATAAAATACCTTAAATGCATTTTAGTATGCATAATAATAGATTTTTGTAATTGTTAAGGAAATATTTAATAAATTTAAATAATGTTTTATGTTGTTTAACAAATGTAGTATTGCTAATCTTTGTTCTCAGAGTTTTTTCTGTTTTTAGGAAAGAGTCAAAATATCTATCCGCTATACTGTATTGACAATCTAAATCGCATAAAATAATAGACACAATTACATGAAATCAAGAAGATATAATGTGTCTCTCTTTACTTTTGTACCGTAAAAAATAGATTTAAGTATTTTAAGTATACCGTTGTAGAAAATACCTAGAATAGTTGAAAGCAGTGTAGTGTAGCAATGAGTTAAAGTTTTGTTATAAACTTACATTTAAGAAATCACAGTATATCTTTTAATATTATTTAATCGATTTAAAAGTAAATATATTTAATAACTGAAGTTATATTTAGCTACCTGAATTTATATATTTAAATTTTATATAAATAAAATTAAAGAAATGTCTATTTCGATTTTTATTATAAAAAACGATTTTTATTCAGCAATATGATACAAGTATAAGATCTATACATATTCAATTATTTCTAATATATTGAGAATAATTTATCTAATTTTAATAAATACATACATGTTTATTTATATACGTATATGTATATAAGAAATGATTTTCATTAATTAACTTTATTACGTTGTACTTTTTGTTTTAATGAAAATGTCATTTTAATGAATTTTCTGTAGAGATACAGAGCTGAAGTTAACATCATTTTTATATGGCAGATATATAGAAATATTGAAGACTTTTTATAATTAGTTATTGTGACACATATATAATGACGTAATTATGAAGTTAAAGCGATGTAGAAAGATTTTGGCGTGTGCTACGATGCGTTAGACAGTTACGCTTCACGCACCGATAGTGCCTGTCCCTTCCTCTTTTTGCCTATGGAATATCCGTCCCGGAAAAGCCCATCTCTCTTTCTGCCACGATTCAGTTTTACCGACGACAGCATCGAGCCTTGGCTCTTTAATTCAGTTGTCGATCGACTGACTGATTGTTGTGCTAAAGTCTATAAATTTAAAGAACATTGTGTTTACATAGTAGGATGTCGCTTATAATCATTCAATTTTCTTTAAATTTTTGACACGTGACGTTATCTGAGTTTGATTTAAATTATGGTTTAGTTTGTGTTAGAAACGGCATAAATTTTTATATTATGCAACTTATACAAACATAACGAGAAATATTATTTTTCTGTTATGTAATTTAAGAGTGAAACAATTGATGTCAGAATATTGGTGTAATAAAAAACTCTAAATATATATATAAATAATATAATGTATAATTGTTCATGCATACCTCTCTAAGTCATTATTGTGCTTATTTGTTTATACTGTAGTAAACTATAACTGTACTATATAAACAGTATAAGATTTTTATTGAGAATGAAAAACATCTTAAAATATATACAAAGAGGTTTGTCATGTCAATTACTGGTGCAACGATAAATTTCCTACAGAGAATAATGACAATAGGAATTCGAAATCTTATTGTTTTTTTCGTTATTCTGTTATATGGAGAGACATATGGAAAATATTTGGAGGTAAGACTGTGAATCAATCCACTATCATTATTTTAATTGTCAAAGTTAGGTTTCCGGTTATTCACATACTTGGAAAATTATAGCATTCATTTTCCGAAATATGTCAGGTAACTTGTATATTCGAAATTGTTATCTTTGTACTATATATTTAATACAGTAGATTTTTATAATAGCTTTATTTATTTAACTGTCTTAATTTATTTTTTTTTTCAAATAAAATACAACTTTATCCGATTATTTGATGCTACTAATAATAATTCTAGTAATAAAACTAGTAGTATTGAAATATTCTTCTAAATATTCTTACTTTTTTACGTCATTTAAAGGGCCTCAACGTGAATTTAGGAGATGCTCTTGTATTCCTTAGAGAATATGATAGTGCGGCTTCATTAATGTGTACGAGAGTGATGATAGCCCAATGGAACTTTGCGACAAATGTTACTGATGCAAACCACCAGAAAATGGTGTAAAAACTTATTTAATTAATACAAATGATATAAAAATGATTTGCTTTATGAATCTTTCATATATGACATTTAATCTTATTTAACATCTCATCAGGTGGACGAACAAACATTAAAATTAAAATTTGAGAGAGCTTCTTGGCGGAAAGCAGTTACTTTTGCTTGGAGTCGAATACCAGATCCTTTAGCAAGAAGAGAACTTAAAATGATTGCTACGAAAGGTCGAAGTTCCCTAACTGATGATAAATTTAATGAGGTAAATAAATGTCTCAATGAAAATAATATTAATTTTCTTTGCTCATCATAAATGTAATTGCAATTGTTTGATCAATTACTATTATTAGATGTTAAAAAATAAATGCTATTAAATGATTATGATCTGTGATTCTATCTATCACTGCTTTCATTTATGTACAATTGTATCCAATTTACAGATACATCGTTTGATAGCAGAGATGAAAGAGATTTACGTTAAAGCCAGAGTATGTACGTATAAACAAATTGATGACGAATGTAATTTGAGTCTGGATTATGGTTAGTCAATCAATTTAATTTATTACATAGATAAATGCATATAAATAAAGAAATAAATGCATATATGTATTTTTATTCACATGTAAATTATTTTTAGATCTAAATAAAATAATGGCAACGTCAAAAGATT